GATAGATAGATAGATAGATAGATAGATAGATAGATAGATAGATAGATAGATAGATAGATAGATAGGACAGACAGATAGACAAGACAGAGACAGACAGACATAGATTATAGACATAGATATATAAATAAAGAGAGAGATACACACATAGTGGTGTGTGTGTGTGTGTGTGTTTGTTTGTTTATCCTGCAATGCCCACCTTCAGGTCCTGCTATTGTGCTTCATAAAGGAAGAGTAGGGATGTCCCTGGGATGAGCAAAGAATACAGGGACCATACATCAAGAGTATCTGATGTGGGAGTCAGAATGCTGCCCTAGACAGGCCTTTGCTCTGCTCCAGTGGGACATGGTTTCTGGTGCCAGATCTGTGTGTGGGGAATGGAGCTCAGATAGCAATGGTGGCTCCAGGAAAGGCCCAGAGAAGCAACAAGGAGCCCAAGAGAAAAGGGATGGCAGTGTTCTCCCTCTCCCTTCCTTTCCCTTCCATCTTTTTCTTTTCACTCTCTGCTGGCCCCCTTCCCTCTCCTGCTTTTTTCTGCTCTTACTCTCAAACTCACCACACTTTTGTTTTACATGCACACTCTCACACACAAACATATACACTCTCCTCTCCATTTTTTGCCTCCCCACCCCACATGCACACGCACACACACTCACATCCATGTCTCCTGGCCTGAGCCACCTTCCCTTAGCTCCTTCTCTTCCTGTCGCCCCCTTTTTATCCTTGCCTAGGCACCAGCACACTGATTTGCCTCCTTATCTCCCTCTTTTTTTTTTGCATTCTCTCTCTTTCTTCTTCTCTCCTCTTTCCCTTTCTTCACCATCCCACAAAGTGCACCTACTTAGCTTATACCCCTTTCACATCCGCAATGCATCTGAAGTCTGATGAATGGCTGTAGGAGCAGCACCAGACTGGAATGGGACAACTTGGTGCAGCCACCTCTCAGCGGCCAACTCGCCATGACCTTTTCACCATGGAATAATTCAACAATTCAATTTAAGTATTTAAAATAATTTTTAAAAAATTAATTTTGTTGTCATTCACATTTCATTATGGCCCTCCTTTTGAGTGTTTTCTTTAATGATTCTATTCCATCATTTCTTTGATATTAATATAACTCTTATCCTGTAGTTAAGTTGTCCACAGCAAGTTGGCCATAGTGAGTTGGCCATACCGAATTGTCCCAGATCTGCCTCCTTTTTGCTGCCTTTGCACTCCCTTTGCCACTTCTGTTTGGGACACAATTTCTGTGGTGAATTTACATGTGTCTAAAGCAGCTTCTTTACCCACATGTCTCGGAAATGTTTGGCAGAGATATTGGGTCCAAAAAGGATGCAAAGGAGAGCTGAATGTCTTTCTTGAGATATCAGTGAGTTAAGAGACACTTGTGTGTGATCTAGGGTTTCCCTCATCTCTCCAAATGCACCCCATGCTCCTTACCTGGGGCTGTCCGTTTAATGACCATAACTGGGAGTGCTAGGATTGTGGACATTGAGCAAAGCGGTCACATGATTTCTCACTTAACTAAAGCTTTACTCAATGACTGAGATTCTGGTCCAATTGTAGTCATAAATCAAAGACTAGCTGGTAATGCAAGGTGGATAGACTTAATTACAGCAGTGGTGTATGCAACACCTTGAAGTCTTGAAGGGCTAGATCAGTGCTAGATCATCCTGGTGAAGATCCTTCTATTTGTCTTGAAGAGCCAACATCAACTTGATGGTACATAATTAATCAATTAATCCTATTCTGAGTCTTTACAGCCATATGACATCAAAAACTACTGTATACTGGATAAGCTCATCCATAAGCTAACCCTCACATTTTAAACCAACACACCATGAAAAATATACCACCTAATAAGCCAGACCTTCAAAATTTTCTTATGTTTCTTCAATATATTCTGAAGGACTGTTTTCCTATTTTGCATCAATACATGTTGTTTTCCAGAACAGATTCCGATTTAAATTTGCACAATTGATTTATCTATAGGAGGCACATTTTAATGGTAGTTTGGTTAAAAATATGAGGGTTGGCTTACTGGCAAGCATATTCTTTAGAAACGTATAACAGATTTATTCATGATTCAGCCCATCTGCAGATAAGCTAAACCCATTTTTGGCAGTTTATATTAGAATCTTATATCCTTGGCTTATCCGTGATTTCACACAGTGAAAAGATAAAGTTGCCCATAACACTTCACTTAGACAAGATGTTGACAAAGGTTAAGGAGCAGAAGTCATTGAAAACACCTGGCTACTGTATATGATGCTCACATTGCAATATTATTGTTATTCTAATGATATTAGAACATGGCTGTTGATTATGATAGAGTTCTCTATTAATATTATACTTGTCTCCAACTATTCCACTGATTATTGTGGGAGTTACTCTCATGAATTGCACTCGTGTAAAGATTGCACCTCTTATGCAGCAACCCAACCATATAATTAGTAATGTGATTCAAGGGGAGTTATATTATTTAACATGGATTTATTCACCAAGTATGGTTGAGCCACCCTCCTCCTTAGGAATTGATTAACTAATGCAAAGATTAATTTATCTGTCAGTTGTTATTTCCCTACTCAGATAATTTCTTAATTAATTCTTCAAAGTTGCCACAAGTTTAATTAAAAAGTTTTGATTGTAGGAAACATATTGAAAAATTATCATACTTCTCATCATATGATATTAACTTGTTAAAGTTAATTGTGGTACAAAACAGAACATTGTTAAAGAAATGTGCTCAAGTTCCCATCTCTTCTGCATACATTTTTAACTATGAAATAAAAGCATTCATTTAATGTGGCCTTTCAAAACTTTTGAGTATTAACAGAATACTCAGCTATCTTTTGAATAATGCAACATATGATTTGCAATTCCTTATGACATTTTTCTGACCATTTTTCAGGAAATTAGAATGATGTAGTTTTGCCAATTATTTCCAGTTTTTTATGGAGAAAAAAGACTTCTGACATTGATTGTGAAGAGGTACTTGAGAATGGTTCTACAATTAAGGCGCCTTTCCATCACAATTATATGATTCACTTTTTATGTAAATGCTGAAGTACATCTTTTACCCAAGAAATAATATAAACCTTAATTACTATGCTTGCTACATATCATGGCAATATTAAAAGAGTGATGAATTAGAATCACATACAAAAACAATTACCTGACAAAGCTACATTGTATTATATAACTTATTTGGACTAGTGGGTCCTTTTTAAAGACCCTACAGTTAAATAATACAAAAAGAAATACAAAAGCTGTTCTGTAAATAGCATGACTCATTTTTATTCCATAAGAGATAGTTTTGAATTAATAGAAGTTGAACATTTTGTCTTCATAAGTATATATTTCAAGTTTCTTTTTGTATCTTTTAACTACAACACTTTGAAAAAGAAACCACATTTCCAAAATGTACTGGTTAATACAATAAAACATCCTTCTGTTCTGTGCCCTTACTACACCACAACTTAGTGCATCCCGATCATAAGAGTGCCCATTATTTATATTTAAGAAATCAGTTTTATAAATGTATTCATGAGATAAGAGCACCATGAGTTACACTGGGCCAAGACAGAGTGATTGGTCCAGAATCATCCAGTAAATTTCCATATTTTTAAGGTTGACAAGAACCTAGTTTTCCACACTAATACTGTGGAAACTGTACAAGTCTACCATACTGTTTATTAAATGCATTTTGCTTCAGAAAAATCTTCGATCTGGTTTTATTTCCTTTAGTGTGTCATTTAAAAGTATTTTAAATTAAAACCAGCAATTTTATAATATACTTAAAACTGCTACTTATAATTCTATGTATTAGAGCATTTCCTGATGAAAAATTCTCAGGCAACTTCTCTCTTTCCAGGCTGACATTCTAGAGAGGGGGGGGGAGAGGGGGAGAGAGAGACAGAGGGAGGGAGGGAGGGGGAGAGGGAGAGGGAGAGAGAGGGGGAGAGAGAGAGAGAGAGAAGTTTCCTGAGGATGGGCTCCAGTACAAGTCCAATAACTCAGAAGATTACACCTCTGGTCCCAGTGACTAACTCAGATTGAATCCTGCAATATTATCCAGATTAAAGGCTATAACATAACATTGCAAGGTGACATAGTCTAAAACAGTGCTATGCTTCCACATTTCAGGATACAAAATTATAGCATCATCAAAAGTCAAGGTGACATGCTAAACCAAATTCAGATGGAGATGCTGGGAGTCGGCATCATAAATTTAATAAATTATTATTATTGAAATGCTGATGATAATAAGCATGTATTATTGTCATCATAACCATCATTGGCTTAACAATCCTGGTTACCAATTTTTAAGGTTGCCTTCATAAAACTCTTCACACTGAATTATGTTCTTGGATATGTATTTACTTATATCAAGAATTTAAGATAAGAAAGGAGGATGAATCACTTTTGCCAAAGTTGACATGGCATTCAGCCATGTGCAGAAAAAAATAGTATTAATTCACTGGCTTTTATGTTGCGTGAACAGTCTTATTTTAATTCCTGATGGTTCCACATTGAACTAGAAAAAACCCTATCCGAAACATGCAATACATATATAATACTAACTGATCTTTTATTCTTCTATGTGTCAATCAATACCTATAATGGAAAAAAGTTCTTTCATAAGAATATCCTTTTTTTCCCTCTTTCAATGCACACACAACAAGAACCATAGATTAGTATGCATATCAATGCATGGCACTATTCATACTTACAGAGTCCAACGTTTTTCCAACAAGAAATTCATATCCACATCAGAAAGAGTAACTCATGAAGTATCCGATTCTTAATGTCAGCTCTCTCATCTTAGTTCCTACAAAGAGAAAAAGTGACAAGATGACAAAATAGAATACATCAGTGAGGCAGTGAGTAGAACTATATAGACATCCCAGTTTTAAAATCTATAGATAAAATGTTGTCTTCTGCATGGTCCAGTAGAGCTAGTGGACATCAGAACAAACAGACTAATAAAGGGTGAAAAATAGAACTGCACTTACAAAGAAAAGGCTCACATAGCGGAACTGTTCATGTAAATCAGCAATATGCTAGGATGTTCTTATCCGTGTAATTTAAACTGACTTTTTAAGATCTAAAACTGCATTCTTATTTCAGATACACTCCAGAAATCAAAAACCTGTTCATGGAAATGATGAACTGTTTACATGACCCACACTTTCCATAACTGAACATGTAATACTAATCATATCATATTTTTCCATCAGGATCGCACAAATAATCCAACAATGAGCAACAAGTAATATATATTTCAATGTCAGATACAAAAATGTATTTCTTCTCCAAATTACTGCATATCGACATTTCATTTTCTTCTTTATGAACACTGCTTTTTATTCAGAACAAAAAAACCAATTATTACTTATGCATTAAATTATCCAAATTGCCTCTTAATTATACTCTTACAAGTATTTTGCTGGAAAAGAAAAGAGTGGCAATATAGACATTAAAGTGCTTCTATTTAGGAATAAAATAAAGAAGTATTGCTCAATTATTCAACTATTCACGCTTCTATTTAATTACAATGTAGCTTTTCTCTCTTTTTAAGTAGAGCTTCTTCAATTATCAAAGTGGAAACACTTCTATTATTCAATACATTTACATGTTGTCTGCCAAAGCTGGAATATGAGAGCATGTTCCAGTTTCAACGTACAAAATAACATATCAAGTAATAAAATTTTATGAAGCTTCAAGAAAATTCCAAGCTACCTGAAGTTTTTTTCCTTTGTTTTATACAGAATAGAATCCTACACATTGGCTGTGGCCATGAATTACTTAATTGTAGTAACTGGGATTTCAATAGCCCCAAGGAAGCAATGGCAAACCACTTCTGAAAAACCTTGCCAAGAAAACTGCAGGAACTTGTTCAGGCAATCTTAAAGAATTGAATAGGATTTAACAGGAAAAAAAAAACCATTTTCAAATACCCATTACATATGTCTGAAAATTTTGATCCAATTAGATATTTAGTTTTCCAGGGACTTCAATTTGCAAAGACACATATCTGTTATCTTCTCCAACTGAGTATCGACTCCTTTGGAACCATTGGATACAACTTCCATCATCTTTAGCCAAATAGAGGTAATCCTTGACTTACAACCACAATTGGGAATGAAACTCCTGTCTCTCTAAGTGATTTAATTTTTAAATGAGTCATCACACTGCCATGATCTATTTTATGACCTTTCTGCCACAGTTGTTAAGTGAATAGCATGGTTATTAAATGAATCCAGCTCCTCCCATCCTTATCTGAAGCTCACTGGGAAGGTTGCGGATGACAATCACAGGGCCCGAGAACACGGCAACCATTATAAATACTGGATGCCAAATACCCAAATTTGGATCCTGTGATTGCAGAGATCCTGAGATGGTTGTAAGTGTAAGTCACTTGGGTCAGCACCATCATAACTCTGAACGGTTGCTAAATGAATGGTCATAAGTCAAGGACTACCTATATTGGTGGATGGCAGAAGTTTAGATAAACATACGTAGGAGGTACTATATTTTAGAAAAAATAACTTGTTAAATCATACACCTCCCCCAAATACTACACTTAAGAAACTTGTTTTATGCTCACCTTCACTCCTACAGAACAACTGGGCAGAAATGTGTTCAAATTTACCGTCCATTTAAACTCTCATCTGAGCATGAACAATCTGTTTTGCAACCGGGCTGGTTTAAAAATCCGCTGAGGCCACCACAACCCTAGTGCCATTTAGGACGATCTGAAACCCCTCACCACGTCTGTTAAGGGAGAAAAGTACAGCAGTGTTCTTACTCCGATCGCCTTTGGCTGGTAAGAAAAGCCGAACAAACTGTTGGTTGTGTGCAATATGCGCTCAAATCACCCAGCGTAAAAGCTAAACGCGAAGAGCAAAAGCCTTTTTAAACGCCCAGAGAAAGAAAGAAAAGAGAGAGAGAGAGAGAGACGTTGAAACTACCCAAAGGAGCCACCCCAGCGCCTCTTCCCATTTCCACGCCTTTAAGCGGCTTGGCGAAGAATGGAGCCTGAAGGGAAGAATTCGCGAACGTTGCCAGTCAAACAAAAGAAGGTGTAGCAGCTGCGGAAGACGGGCGGACCCGAAGGAGACCAAGCGGCTCCCCCGAAAAGGCGGGAGAGCCCTATTTTATTTTGGGGAAACGCAGCCCTCGATCCCTCTGCCCCGCCCCTCCCTCTTCCGCGAACCTTCCGGCTCTCCCCCGGACACGGATCCCAGGAAGAACAAAAGGAGTTTATTTCTCCAAGCCGCGGGAATCCCTTGGACGCCGCGGCGGCGCCTGCCCTACTTCTCTCTCTCTCTCTCTCTCTCTCTCTCCCGAGGCTCAGGCATTTCCTCAGCCACGGGAGCAACCAGAAAGACAGAGGACCGGAGGGAGGGACGTCCTTCGTCCGCTCCCCCTCCCTCTCTCCCTCCCTCCTTCCTTCCCTCGTCTCACCTGGCATTTTTACCTGGCGGGAGACCTCCGCTGCTTCTGCCGCTTTGGGAAGGGGGAGGTAGCTCTTCGAAGGCTCCTCCGCCTGTCTCGGCTTCACGCAACAAGCGACGGCTCGGAAGCAGCCAGACCCGCAGCGCTTTTCTCGCTTCCTCCCTTCCCCCTCCTCATCCTCGGAATTGCTCAGGCGGGGAGGGAAGGAAGGGGAAGAAGAAAAGAAAGAAAGAAAGCAAAAAAAAAAAAAAAAGGGATGGGGGGCACGTGGCGCGAGAGGTGACCGAAACGGCCCCGTCGGGTTCGAACGAACCGGAGCGTTTTTTTTCCGGACTTCCTTGGAAAGTCCCGCCACGCCGGCCGCCCTTGCTCCTCTCTCACCTCAGCCGGCCAGATGTGGCGGTCGGCTGCTCCTCGGTGGGAAAGGCAGAGGTGGCCTTGGTGGGAGTCTCTCTCTTTCCGAGGGGCGGGGCCAGCCGGTCCCTCCTCGGTGACGGCGGGCGATGGGAGGCGTCACTCAAAGGAGCGGCGAGAGGGAGCAGGGGACCGAAACGGTTCCGAAAGTTTTGGGCTTTCCGCTTGGGGGAAGGAAAGCGCGGGCTGACCTGCGCCGCTCCCGCCCTCGGAACGCGGGAAAGCCTTTGCCACAGCCCAGGCTAAGCCGGCTCGTGAGGTGGGGGACGCCGGGAGCAGCCCAGGTGTGCAACAACCGAGCCTCCCCGCCTCTGGCTGAAGGAGCCACACTGTCACCTGTGCGTTTAGGCAGGTGTCTGAACTGGGGTGCAGAAAAAGGAATTTGTCTCCAAACTTTAGCTGCTACCTACGTGCACTCTCTCTCTCTCTCTCTGTGTGTGTGTGTGTGATGTTGTTGGCAGCAACACAGAACTTTCGATTTGGTACCCACGAACTTTTCCTTTGATGTCGTGCTATTATTGCGGACTAACGCCTACAGTCGATAGCGAATGCTTAACACGATCCTCGCTTTTATTTTCTAGCATTTGTGTGTGTGAGAGAGGGAGAGGGAGAGGGAGAGAGAGAGAGAGAGAGAGAGAGGAGTAATCTGTTAGGGAGGAATGTACTCTGGAGACTGACTGGCATCTCCCACTGATCTCCCTTAATCGAATGGGAGATGTATCAAAATCAGACTTAAGCTCTGTATCTTTAAGGTAGCCCCAGGGAGGGAACAGCAAAGTAGGAGAATCTAGTAGTTAGTAATTCAAGGGGAGGGAGTAGGAAGAGAAAAAGCAGGTCAGCTCCTCCTCCTGGGGGCAAAGTATATTTACAATGGTGGCAGCTGGTACTTCCAGAACAAAATGACACTTATGTGGAAGGAAGAAAATTCCATTTTGAAAACTTGTTTTTTATACTCTGCTTCATAGTATGATCTTTTAATTGATTGATTTGATTTGATTTGTCAGTTGCTTACAAGAGAATAAGTATAAGTATAAACATGGGTAAGAATACAGGAAATAGATATGAATAAATGGGGACAATAGGACAGGGACAGTAGGCGCAATTGCCCTACCTTGGGGTTCAAACTAGAACACATAGTGATAGCTTACAGGCTAATCAACTGAACACAGTACGTCTGTGCTAGGGTGGCTTCACGTTTCCTCAACATGGCATTTGATGACACAGAGGTGGTGTGCAGAGTGTTTCATGACAAAGAACTTCAGCTCAGCCATTCTTTACAAGCTTTTCACACACATAAGAGTCTTCTAGCACAGTATTCCAATATTTGGGGGTCTGCCATAAAGAAGAGGGGATCCACCTTATCTCCTGAGATACCCGAGTGCAGGATGGGAAATGATGGAGGCTGATCAGGGAGAGAGGTAATCTGGAATCATTGGAGGTTTTTCAAGAACAGATTGGACATCCATTTGTATGAATGGTATGGGGTCTCCTGCTTGAGCAAGGGGTTGAGCTAGAAGACCTCCAAGGTCCCTTCCAACTCTGTTATTCTATTGGTCAGCTCTTGGGTGGACAGACAGAAACAATTTCTCCAAGCTTTGGGAATGGTTGGGAGACACTCCAAATGAAGGAACATGGCCATTTCACTCTCAAGAGACAGAAGGAGAGCATTTTCTGAAGGAGCTTTGAAAGGAAGCCTAGTACAGATAGTCCTTGACCTACAACATTTTGCTTAATGACCATTTGCCGTTACAATGGCCCTTTAAAAAGTGACTTATGACCACGTTTCATACTTACGACCTTTCCAGCATACCCATGATCATATGTGATCAAAATTCAGAAGCTTGGCAGCTGATTCATATTTATGGCCATTGCTATGTCCCAAGGCCATGCGATCACATTGCGCAACCTTCTGATAAGTAAAGTCAATGGGGAAGCCAGATTCACTTAACAATCAGGTTACTAACTTATCAACTGCAGTGATTCACTTAACAACTGAGACAAGCAAGGTCGTAACATGGGGCAAAATTCACTTAACAACAGAAAATTTGGGCTCAATTGTGGACATATGTTGAGGACTAGCTGTATATTTTTTTCATGGAAGTAAAATGCTCCTTCAAAGCTCTGTGCAATCTTTGCACAAAGTCATTGCTACTGGTTGCTCTCCAAGAAGTGTGTGTGTGTCTGTTGAAGATCGGAATTTGATCAGTCAGGAAAAAAAGCATCAAAAGAATCAGATCTGCATTGCTCAACTCTCATCCCAAAACTTTTAATACCGCGTCGTCTAGAGTCTTCATGGAATGTGAGCAGACATTTACAAGAGAATAACCAATCAAACGAGTTGTTAAAACTAAGGAATCAATCCCAGTTAGGCTTGTTATGAAAGAAACACTGTCTGGACAATTTCATGTCAATGGGAATCTTTCCAAATTATTTGAATCATATACATAAAATCTTCTAGAAGAAACATTGGCCAATGAAACAAAACAAAACAAAAGGGTAACAGAGAGAGAGTGGGGGGGAAGGAGGGAAGGAGGGAGGGAGAGAGAGAGAGAGAGAGAGCGCAATCTGCCTTCTTTATTCCAAATCTTTAAGATTTAGTGAATTTGGAGGAAGGGGGAATCCTACAATGAGGAATCTCAGGGTCATAAAATTCTTATTTCAGATAGGCAAATCTCCAGCAAGTGACAGAAGATATTGATGTTTTTAAAAACTGCAGAGTTATTCTAAATACTGTGTGGGGAATATGATTTATCTACAATTCTACTTCAGAAATATATGCCTTTTTATAGACGTTGACATAAAAAATACTTTATGATTTGGGAAAGAAGTTTGTGTTATCTGGGATATGGAAAGAATAACAAGATGTCTGTGTAATGTTGGATCATAGACCAAAAATGGGTAACTTATCAATATATGAAGAACATTGACTTTATTAAGCATAAAGTATAGCAATAAAGATTGAGAGGAGACAGCTTTACTCCCAAGTTAAAATCATGGATTGATGTTATGTATTTGCTCTCTGTTTTTCAACTGGATCGGTATGTAGATAATAGAAAGACTGGCCAAATAATCCTCGGGGGTGATCAAAGTTTAATGCAGAGTTAAAAACCCATCTGTTTTCTCTATGCATTAAATGTACTTTTACTTTTTTATATTTTCCGTTTTTTATTGTATTATCTTTCTTTTCTTTCTGTATAACAAAACTTTTTTAAGACCACAGGAAGATCCATTTCAAGAAATTTGAAGGTATACATAAAATACTAGTTAAGTATTTTCAGTAATTATAAAACTAATCACTTAAAACAGATCATGGAGGAGATTTTTGAATGTACATTTTAATTCATGAGTTTCTTAGGCTTCTGGATCTGAATCTTCAGGGGTCATCTTGGAATAGCTTAGAAAGGTCTCAATGTAGAACTGACAAGGATAATTGGTGAATGGATTTCTGGAGCTTACTACATTATTTTGCAAAAAATAAATAAATAAAAATTACACTCCCCCCCCCGACAAAGTACCAAAAAAGAGAAAGTAAAAAGACAAAAGTACAGAAAGAATAAAGACAAAGAAATAGAAAGAAGATTCCCATTCCTTTGCAGCAAATTTAAGTACAATTACAAAATTATCTCTTACTCTATGATTACACAAAAAGTTCATTTTCTATTATCCAGTATTTCTAATAAAAACCGCAATTCATAAGTGCATTTCTTTCCATTTTATGCAAAAATTCTCTAAGGGGTTTCCAGTCAGCCACAAATATAGATACAGGTAGTCCTCAACTTACAATCATTATTGAGCCCACAATTTATGTTGTTAAGACATTTGTTAAATGAGTTTTGCCCCATTTTATGACTTTTCTTGCCACAGTTGTTAAGCGAATCACTGCAGTTGATAAGTTAGTAACAGTTGTTAAGTGAATCTGTCTTCCCCGTTGACTTTGCTTGTCAGAAGTGTGCAAAAGGTGATCACATGACCTTGGGATACAGCAATGATCATAAATATGAACCAGTTGCCAAGCACCTGAATTTTGATCACATGATCGTGGAGATACTGCAAAGGTTGTAACTATGAAAAATGGGCATAATGATCAGTAGAGACCTTCAAATTTCTAGGTTCTATTATATCACGACCTAAAATGGACACCTAACATCAAAACATCATCAAAAAAAGCACAACAAAAAATGTTCTTTCTGCGCCAACTCAAAAAGCTCAAACTGCCCAAGGAGCTGCTAATACAGCTCTACAGAGGAATTATTGAGTCTATCATCTGCACCTGTATAACTGTCTGGTTTGGTTCTGCAACCCAACAGGACAGACACAGACTTCAGAGAGTAATTAGGACTGCAGAAAAAACAGTTACTACCAACCTGCCTTCAAGTGAGGACCTGTATACTGCACAAGTTAAAAAGAGGGCTGTGAAAATATTTACGGACCCCACACATCCAGGACATAAACTGTTTCAACTCCTACACTTAAAACAACACTATAGAGCACTGCCCACCAGAACAAGTAGACACAAGGACAGTTTTTTCCTGAAAGCCATCACTCTACTAAACAAATAATTCCCTCAAAACTGTCCAACTATTTACAAAGTCTGCACTACTATTAATCTTCTCATCACTCCTTATCACCCATCCCCACCCACTTGTGACACTATGAATGTAACTTTGTGGCTTGAATCCTTATGATTTATATTGACTGTTTCCTAGTATGATTTGATTGCTTATTGTACCCTATAACTATCATTGTTGTATCTTATGATTCTTGACTCTTGACGAATGTATCTTTTCTTTTATGTACACTATAGAGCATCTGCACCAAGACAAATTCCTTGTGTGTCCAATCATACTTGGCCAATAAAGAATTCTATTCTAATTCTATAAGTAACATTTTCAGTGCTGTTGTAACTTTGAATGATCACAAAATGAACTGTTGTAAGTTGAGGACTATATTGTTTTCGTCTAAGCAAAGAAGTTGATCTGACCATCTCTGCAAGTTCAGTCATCTTCACCAGCTATCCCTCCTTGTGA